AATGTGAAAGAGAATGAGAAGACTGGGCCGTCGCCTATCTCTGTCTTTTTTACAAATACTTTCAGGGTAACTGCTTCGATGAGCTGCTATCGCTGGTTCCCAGACTTCATGAATTTAAGCGTTCGAATAAGCTGGCATCTCGCTCTCACCCTTTCACTGTTAAATGTAGCCGTCTCTTCTACTTCAATAGCTTCATGTTTCGCACTTCTCGCCTGTGGAACTTCCTCCCTCCCCAGTTCTTGTTTTTTTCCTGATAGCTATAATCTCCAACTATTCAAATGTAACGTCAATTGACGTCTCCAGATGCCTTGATCTATCCCCTCTCCTTCTCTTCGTCCTTTCCTCCATCACTCTTCTTTGCTCCCGCTCGAACTCTCTGTAACCCCTTGCGTGTTAGTGGCTTCCCGCCTTGCTTGGAGTGAAACGCCAAAAAAAAAAAAATAAATAAAATAAAAAATAGGGATGATTGAGGAAAGAACAAAAAATGAGAAGCGTTCAAGAAAACAAGATGGCGATTGACGTTGCATTTAAATTTTTGAAGATTGTATATGGTGATCCGAAAGTCTTGTCATCCTTACATGACCGACTATTCTTTTCCGGGCACACACTTCTGCTAGGGTAGCTACCCAATCGTTATTGCAGGCAACTGCTCAACCCCCACAGAGCCAAACTATAGTTTATACTGCAACTATGCTGAGCGGACCTTACTTAAAACATCTTGTAGAAAGCGCATAATGTGGCGTGATCAGCAATTTGAACAAAACCAGTACACTCAAACACTCGGTCACGATGACTTGTGCCTTCGTGTTACCTTCGACGACGGCTTCCAAACAGTTTCATTTACCCGATTTAACTCAAACGCTTGGGTCAAACCGTGGTATGGGTGTGGCTTTTCAGGCAATTTTCGATATGAAATATCGACCATGGTGTTGTTCGAACCAAAAGCATGATCGTGTCACATGATAAGAAATAAAATGCTCTAAGCACTCGGTAACACGATCATAACAATAGCTGTGTAGTAAATGAGGAGAGGAAATGCAATAAAGAAATCGGAAGGTCTATAGGGATAGCAAAAGATGTCTTTCAGAAATTAAGGTAAGTATTAAGAGATAGTAAAATGTCGTTAGAAAGGAAGTATTGAACTCATGTGTAATATCCGATCTTTTATACGGCAATGAATGCTGAGCAATTTACTTACAGATAAGAAGAGACTTCTCCAGATGAATATTGAAATATCATAGGCAAAAACATTATTAAAAAATGCTTGATATATTTTGAGGGTACCTTGTATATGTGTAATTGTTTGCCGAACGCAGGGGAAACATTTTCGATGGCGTGATTACTCGTTGATTTAAGGAACCACCCAAAAATGGAAAAAAATAAACATAAAAACCTAAATCAGTCATTAGCGAGAAAAAGGTGTTAATTGCTGTGCTTTGTTGATTTTCTAATGACTAATATCTAAGTCATGTTGATATAGGTAAAAAGCAAACACTGTCAGTCAGAAAGATAAGTAAAATAAATACGTACGCATGGGCAGGAGATAAATTTGCCCAAACTCAAAAGACTTTCAAAGCGGCCCATTTGCACATTTATGAAGACCTACTGCACATGTAGATGTAAGCACGGACATAGAAACTCGTAATGCCGACGAAATAAGAGAGAGAGAGAGAGAGAGAGAGAAAGAGAAAGATAGAAAGAAAGAGAGAGAAAGAAAGAGAGAACGAAAGAGAGAGAGAAAGAAAAAGAAAGAAAGAGAGAAAGAAAGAAAGAAAGAAAGAGAAAGATAGAAAGAAAGAAAGAAAGAAAGAAAGAGAGAGAGAAAGAAAGAGAGAGAAAAAGAGAGAGAAAAAGAGAGAGAAAGAGAGAAAGAAAGAGAGCGAAAGAAAGAGAGAGAGAGTGAGAAGGAAAGAAAGAGAAAGAGAAAGATAGGAAGAAAGAGAAAGAAAGAGAGAAAGAAAGAGAGAGAAAGAAAGAGAGAGAGAGAGAGAAGGAAAGAAAGAGAAAGAGAAAGATAGGAAGAAAGAGAGAGAAAGAAAGAGAGAACCAAAGAGAGAGAGAAAGAAAAAGAGAAAGAAAGAGAGAAAGAAAGAAAGAAAGAAAGAAAGAGAAAGATAGAAAGAAAGAAAGAGAGAGAGAAAGAAAGAGATAGAAAAAGAGAGAGAAAAAGAGAAAGAAAGAGAGAGAAAGAAAGAAAGAGAGAACGAAAGAGAGAGAGAGAAAGACAAAGAGAGAAAGAAAGAAAAAGAGAGAAAAAGAGTGAGAAGAAAAAGAGAGAAAGAAAGAAAGAGAGAGAGAGAGAAAAAGAGAAAGAAAGAAAGAGAGGTGAACACACACACACACATCCACATGCACGAAGGAGAGCGCACGTACGCACATAGATATTTCTATGTATATAAACACAGGGGAAGTTCTTAACGCCACCCCGACGTGGTGCAATGGTTAGCGCGCTTATTTTCTAGTTCATTTACAACTGAGTAGTGAGTTTGATCCTCACTGGGTGCTCCATACATTCGGCCTTGAGCCGCATCTAAGCTACGCTCAGAAAATCACCATACAAAGTTCTCGGCCCGAACGATTTGCCAAAATCATTTTCTCAATGAGCAAACATCATAAAACTGATTTTAGGGGAGTGAGGATCTCTCTCTCTCTCTCTCTCTCTCTCTCTCTCTCTCTTTCCATGTATATATTATAAAATTTAATGTACTAGAAATCCTTACAGAATTTAGCATTGTTAAAGTTAACGCTAACATTTTTTGTCGAGATTTACAAACTCAACGTTTTGTTCAATTTAGCAAACCAATCGATGAAATTTGAATGAGCTGATTTGTTTGGAAAAATACTTTGACAAAAACCCTACTTCGTGGTTTAATAATTCCTTTAATTTAAATTAGTTTTATAGGACTTCATGGGAAACGATATTTTTAAAGAAAATTTCTTTTTTCCTTTTTAACAGCGAAGAATAAATTCTTAGGATTTCTTACTCTTGAGGATGAAGCATACAACTGGTCATGCATAAATATATCTTTCTGGAGCCAAATTCCAACTTTTTGAAGCGTTTAGCCTTGTAATTTGTTTATAGTTCTCGCAAACACAGGGCGAACTGGAGACTGGATTCTTGTATATATCAAAATTTACAGAAAAGATATGCAAATAACAATATTGCCTTTTTATTAAATATGTATTTGGTATTTTAATCATTACATTGTTTTTTTTTTTTAATAGTGGGACTATTTTGTCCATGTGTAAACTATTGTGGTTACTGTATATAGGTTCTATCGCATTGGAGCTGGAGGTGAAAGTTTTGGCCAATGAGAATCCATTTTTTATAGATGAAAAATGTCTTTCAGTTTCAAAGACTAATTTTACTCTATAAATTAGAATACAACCTTCCTTTTTTTAAAATTCAAAACCATTAAGACAACACTTTGCTTCTTCTAATTGAGTAAAATCCTTTTCATATCAGCTGAAATAAAATAACGTAATTCATCAGTTTGGACCAGTCGTTGTTTTGGAGACATTCTGAATTCCCTCATATTCGGCAAAAGAGGCGGTTTTCTTATTTTTCTAAATTTATTGTAGATATTGGGTTTAAACTCCAGTTCAGTTTGTTTCGTTTTCCTTTCAAAATAAATTTCTCTTCAAAATTTTTCATACAGAGAACTGATTTTTTGTAAGAAACCAATCAAGACGATTAACGAATTTTATCCATTTTTTACGAAATCGGATTTTCCAAGAGGAAAAGAAAATGTTGATACTTTTTCACTGTTAGTAACATATCCACTAGAACGGCCAAATGCAACACTTTTGTTAACCATTTTTGTTAAACAAAATATCATAACAAACTTTATAATTTAATCTTTAAATGCAATGGACAATGAGGTAGAACATTTACCTGATAGCATCCATTTGCAAAACGGGCCGTATACACATTTGAAAATAATAAAAGCCTGGTAATTTACAGCCGTTTATAATTCATGGATTAGTAAAAAAATGTATAAATATGCATTTTAGTGTTGAAAACATGTCTAAGGAATTGAAATAACATCTTATAAAGTCTACGTAATTGTACGTTGTTAATTTATGTTCTAAGAATTCAATTTTAAAAGTTATCTCCCTTTTTGATCAGCAATTTTCTAAGCGGCCATTCCATTTATTTATTTATTTTTTACATTACGTCGGCCTGTTAGAATTCAGTTTCTTATGTGACATATGGGCCGTATAATACTAGTTGGCCATAGTACTACTAATATATTAGATATTAACCTGTTGTATGGATTATAGAATACATGCCACACATCCGATATGGAAAGTTTAGGTTTGGTTTGGATTATTTTGCTATACAGCATATCAACCTCAATAGGTTATTTAATGCCGAAAAGATTTTTAGGATAGATTCTTATTATTAGAAGGTACTCTTTGTAAGAAATCAGTTTGTAGATCAGGTTTCATTGTTGTGTTTTTGTAAAGAGGGCTTTGTCGAGAGTAAGATATATTGCTAGAAATATTTATTTTCTTCAAATATTTTATTGCTGGTAATTTTTTTCAAAAATACATTGCTGGTATTTTTACTATAAAAATCTATTTTTATACTTTCATAGTGTTTTGACCCCATTTTGAGGGTTGACCCCATAGATGGAACCCTAACAGGTGCTACCACCCCTAGTCAGAGTGGACCTGGGAACAACAGCAATTAAGAGGTGATTCCACGCTACTCAAAAACTCCCGATCAGAGTCCCTGCTGCCAGATGTAGTTCATTGTCATGCCCAGGAAAGGAAATTTTTAGGAACTTTACCGAATTTTCCAAGTTGCATATATTCTGTGCAGTTACTGAAGCTTCTAGAAAAGACACAAGTATAAACACGAATTTACCTGTAGACACCTGTATAGGTCCAATCAATATTTACCTTTTTCCCTCAAACATTAGCGTAACAAATCTTTTTTCTACAGACTCAAGAGTAAACCTTTACCAATAGCCATAACTACAAACTCTAGTGCTTACGGACATATCACTTTCAAAGACCGGTTCTCGTCCGATCACTAAAGTTAAGTAACGTCGAACATGGGCATTACCTAGATGGGTGACCGCTTGGGAATACCAGGTGTTATAAGCTTAGATGTGCGGTTGGTGTAATGGATAACGTCCCGGAAGTTGGGATCTTTATATTCACTTACGCGAAAATAGCTGTAGGAAAGGTATGACTCGACATGTCTCCCCAGCCATGGGTTAATTAGTAAAGCTTCTATTATTGAGATCTTTATAATTAAAAAATAAAAACTGCGTACAAGATATTTAACTTTTGGCATTAAATAGCCTATAGAGGTTGATATGCTTTAAAAAAATAGACAAACATTTTCGACTGATCTTTATCTGTATACTCAAGTATAAAGCCGATAAATGTTTACTTATAGGCTAAAGCATGAACCAGTCCATATTGGTCATTGAATGTTCACCAATATATCCAAGTATTAACTTGACCAATACTTTTTAAAAACATTTCACCCCAAGCAAGGCGGGAATGGCACTAGCACGCAAGGGGTTACAGAGAGTGGGAACAAGAGTAAAGAGGTGTGATAGAAGAAAAGGTGAAGAGAAGGACGGGGAATAGATCAAGTTACCTGGAGATGTCGATTGACATTGCATTTGAATAGTTGGAGATTAAAGGTATCAGAGAAGCGAGTAAGAGGAAGGGAGTTCCCCAGACGGGAAGTACGAGACATGAAGCTATTGGAGTAGAAGAGACGGCTACATTTAACAGTTTCGACTGTGAAAATGTGGGACTGAGGTGACTATCTAGTAGCCTGTTTAAATGCATGCAGTTTGGGAATCATCGAATGTAGCTCATCGGAGCAGTTACTGTGAAAGCAGAATTATGTAGAAAAGACAGAGGGAAGTGACGACACGTCCGTGAGCAAGCGACTGTAAACGAGATGCCAGATCAGGGCCAATCACATTGCATATCCGTCTATGGATTTTGTCGAGGACCTTAAGACGAATAGCGAGGGCTCCAGACCATATATGGCTGCAGTATTCCATGCAAGGGCGAATGGTTGATTTATAGATTTGAAGGATGTACTCGTATGAGAAAAACTATCTGTCGCGACGCAGAGAACCAAATTTCCTTGCGGTAGATGAAGCTATTTATTCAATGTATTTGTTCCATCTCAATGTAAAGACTCAAGTAAAAACCCTCCCAGTTTTTACTTGTAGTTTCAAGTAAAATAATAACTAGATTTCGACTTTAAAACCCCAACAAGAGTTAATATTTAGAAGAAATCAATAAAGCTAACCGATTTCATTGTAGAAATTATTTACGTTTTTTTTTCTTGTTTCCCTATTATTATTATTATTATTATTATTATTATTATATTGCATTCACTCGATGACGATAAACTACATCCGGCAGCAAAGTCTCCGGTCGGGAAGTTTTGAGAAGCGTGGAACCAGCTCTTAATCGCTGTTGTTCCCAGGTTCACTACTGCATAATGGAATATTTAACTCTTTGTATCGTCCTTGGTATGACAATAAACTACATCCGCATCCTGGGTAAGACGATAAACTACGTTCAACAGCAAGGCCTTAGATCAGGAGGTTTTGAGGAGCATGGAACCACATCTCAATTACCAGTGTTCCCAGGTCCACCCTGGGGTGGTAAAACCTGATAGGACCACAGCTATGTACAAATAGTTAACTGGGGTCAAAACACCGTGAAAATATAATAAATTTTATAGTAAAAATACCAGCAATATATTTTCATAGAATAATTACCAGCAAAACATTTATAAAATAAATTACTAAGAAAATTAAATTTCAGCATTAAATAACCCTTAGGGAGTTGATATGCCGTTAAACAAACAAACTTTCTATTCATTACAGTCCCTTATCGGTCTTTAGACAAGCATTGGTCAAGTTAATATTTGAATATGTAAGGGAACATTGAATAACCAATAGGTCAGAATCAAATATTTACTAGGATAAGGCAAGGTCGTAAATATTTGCATTCTGGTTTTAAATGATTCTTTACATGTATTTTATCTAAATTAAACATCCTCTCATGAGTAAGTGAGCAGTACTGCATAATGACATATTTAACACTTTGTATCGTCCTGGGTATGACAATAGACTACATCCGTGTCCTGGGTAAGACGATAAACTATGTCCAACAGCAAGGCCTCTGATCAGGAGGATTTGACGAGCGTAAAACCACTTCTTAATTTCTGGTATTCCCAGGTTCACCCTGACCCGGGGTGGTAGAACCTGTCAGGGTCCCAGCTATGGGCAAATAGTTACCCCCCACCCAAACTGGGGTCAAAACTCTATGAAAGTGTAAAAATAGGTTTTAATACCAGCAGTACATTTTTTTTTAAAAAGAGAAATATTACTAGCAATACATTTTTGAAAAAATAATATTACCAGCAATACAAATCTTGTCGGCATTAAATAAACCATTGAGGGTGATATGCCGTAAAACAAAACAAAACAAACTAAACTCTTTGTAAACATGGGCTTTCAGAGATTTTGTTCATGTACTTTTCTATACATTTCTTGATTGTACCCAGTACTCCAATTATTATAGGTATAACTGTAGTTTTAAGATACCACGTTTTATTTTCAGCTGCAATTTCACGATAATTATATTTACTTACTGTATCCATATACTTTAATATATCTATTTTATCAGACGTTATCACCAGCCAGCGCGAATGGACTTTATTTTTACACTAAGGTCCCGGGAGCACTCGAGGTAGATGGTTACGCTAAGGGGTAATTTAAACGGACAGGAGAGGAATATAATCGTTGTCTCTAGATTTGAACAAGTTAAGATTGTAGTGATCGGGAAAACATCCTTTATGGAGTTTGTTCTACGGGGCAATGGTTCGCCGGAAGAAACTGTTTGAGTGGGACTTATTTCTCGTCGATGGAATGTGGTTTACTAATATGTAAGTAGCATGGCGGGTCCTAGCCGTGAAGGTCAGACCTAATGGAACCAGAAGATGCAGTTCGTCCGAGCACTTACCATGGTAGTAGCGGTAGATCAATGAGAGACTCGCCACATCTCGACTGTGAGAGAGAGGCTAGTGTGTGGACAATGATTCTTCTCTCACAAGAACTCGGAGACGCTTTTGGGCTCTATCGAAACTGGAAATGAGGTCTGGGTAGCTCCTGCCCAAATATGGCAACAGTACTCCCTCTTGTGCCTGATCTAGCTCTTATAAAGGTAAAAGATAGCATGAGGAGTCAGGTGTTTACTGGAACGGTAAAGGGAGCCAATCAATTCCCCAATGCAGCTCAAATATGAGTAACATTAGAGGGATAGCGCCCATGAAATCTGTTAGTTGATTAGTGATGTAATGGAATAACCATTTACCCCCATGAGGAGTGAGAGAGTGAAGACGCAAGCACGTCTGATCTTCCAGTTAGTGCCACTCACTACTAGATTGACCTGTGTGTATAACTGTACCGTATTTCATATTGGACTGGTTATTGTAAAATAAACCTTTCTTCTATTATCCACCTGGTGTTAAGTATTTATTCCCTTAACACGGAATGTAACAATTAGTTAATAAAAGCAATTAAATAGTTTAATATAAATCTAATGGAACTCTTCCGTAATTTTGTTCATCACCGGGGTGTGACTTTAGTAGTTTGCATATTCATTAGTTTTAAGAGTTGAAAGGTCAGTGCATTTTGGATAATTTTTCAGAATGTGCACATTTAGATGTTCATCTAAATTACAGTCATTTGTGATCAAGTATTCGCAAGCTCCGTTGATGTTACATTGTTGTGTCGGATATGTATGTCGCCATTAAATGTCTTGTTGTCCGTTGGGCAGCAATCATAAATCAAGTCATGTTTGGTACAGTGGGCAGCGTATATGAAATGGAAATCAGTACAATTTAAAGAAATCGTAATGTTTCTCTTTGAATTTAGGATGAAATTGACTTGACTAGTGTCGATGAACAACAAACTGGGTGTTCCCTTCTTGGGCTGTTTTCTCGAATACAAAAATCGGGAACTGCATTGGGGTTTTGAGTATAATTTTTAAAGTTTTGGGTAAATTTTGACAAGTGGCTCGAGTGGAAACGCACGGGTTCCCACATAAAAATTGACCTTCTGTCGCATCTTCACAACAGTGGGGCAACCGGTAAATGTCAGTCGCATCAGAATCAGACCCAGGCTCGCGATAAGACATGACCCTCATCTTCGGGCGGACGGTGACTCAGTCGCGGTTCTGTCTTCGGATAGAAACTCGGCTGAGAAAAATCTGACAACTTGGAGAGAGGCAGTTCTGACAGCGACTCGGCTGTGAAAAACAGAGAAATCATGTGCCTTGGAGTGGGGATGGGTAAATTTTGACCAATGTCTCGGTTGGAAACTCTTGCGTTCCCCAAAATAATCCAGACACTGTGTCACATCGCATCTCAGTGGGGGGACTGAGTAGATACCAGACGCATCGGAATAGATACCAGACGCATCGCTGCCAGGCTCACGAAAGACAAGACATCTGTTTTCGGTCAGGGGGTGACTCAGTCGGGGCTCTGTCTTCGGTCAGAGAGTGACTCAGTCGGGGCTCTGTCTTCGGTCAGAGAGTGACTCAGTCGGGGCTGTCTTCGGTCAGAGGGTGACTCAGTCGGGGCTCTGTCTTCGGTCAGAGAGTGACTCAGTCGGGGCTCTGTCTTCGGTCAGAGAGTGACTCAGTCGGGGCTCTGTCTTCGGTCAGAGAGTGACTCAGTCGGGGCTCTGTTTTCGGATAGAGACTCGGCTGAGAAAAACAAACAAGTAATTTACCCAAGTCCACTTTCGCGGGGGCTGGGTGAATTTTGACGAACGGCCGTGGGGGAAAGGCTCGGGTTGCCACAATAATCTCGACCTTGTGTCGCATCTCATTTCATTTCGGAGACTGAGTAGATAACAGTCGCATCAAATCAGGCTGTTCCCTTCCTGGCCCGTGACAGACAAGTACTCTGTCTTCGGGCAGAGGGTGACTCAGTTTGGGCTCTGTCTTCGGATAGAGACTCGGCTGAGAAAAACTACTAAGTAATGTACCCGTACCCGCTTTCGCAGGGGTTGCGTAAATTTTGACCAATTGCCCGTTGGAAACACTCGCG